TCGCAGAAGTACCAAGATGGATGAATAGCTTTTGCTCTAACTTTCCAAGAAGACTCCTTCTGGTTCCCGTTCAGAAGAAAGATGGTTTCCTGGCCTTGTCTCCCGGTGGGTGGGACTCGGGCTGCGCCAAGCCTGTGCTCCGTGCCGCTCAGAGGCTGCAAGATGAAGGGCTTTTGGTCTCTTCTGGTTGTGAGGGTGCCTGGAAGTCTTGGGGAGGTGGTTCTGGCTGGAGCAGTTACCTGGCGGCTCCTTCTCCGTCCCCGGCATCGCTGCGCGTTGCAGCTTCGCTCCTCCCAAGCCCTGATCTCTCTGCTAGACTGCGGCAGACGAGACCGGGGCAGAGCTGAGGGAAATCTCTTCTGCCCAAGCGTGTGCCTTGACGTTCTCTTTGTGCGCAGAATACGGGAACCTTCACCAGGGCCAAGAGCTCTGACTCGGGTATGTCTGGCATTTCACGGAGCGAGTTCTTTTGGCACCTGAGCTGTCTCGCTCTTGGGCTGGAACTGCCAGCACGCTCGGAGCTGGGCGATTGCTGCAGGGCTGGAGTGAATCACAGTGTTTATCAGGACTGTCACTATGGAACTGTCAAACTTTCTGTGTGCCTGAAGAATTCCTCCCTTCAGATAGAGGAGAGCGTGATGTCATCATAATTGATTTTTTACGTAAATGCTTGCTATACAATAATTTTGGATTAAATGATGTGTTCCTTTCATGTTGGCAGAAAATAACTCATCTTAAATGGCAGCAGACTGTTGTATATGTGTTTCTGAAAGTCAAATATTTTGATTCACACTTGCGATTTATTGATTTTGCATTGTTACCAAATGGCATTTCAAAATCAGCTCAGAATACCATGGTTCAAAATCCTGTCACTCATGTGGCGAAGTTATTTTCGCGTAACCCACTCTGCAAACGGGAGTGGCAAGAGGAACAGCTAGAGACAAGAGAGGGCAAATGCGTTTTGGGGGTAGTAGGTTTGAAAACAACCTTCATTTTTATCATCTCTGTATATTCTTATGCAATCATTCCTTCTGTGCTATTAAACAATAATAAATCCAAACTTGCAGAGCTGTTTGTTGTCATCTTGGATCTGTCTAAATGTGCGCTAGGTTTCAGGCTTCAATTTTGGCTTTAAGGGAATACTCACTGACTTAAAAAAGTAATCTTGATCCTCATTGTGCAGATATTGCATATATGTAATCTAGACGAGTTCAGTGCAAGCACCTTATCTCACGTGAGCAAATGACAGCAAGACTTCTCGGTTTGGACGGAATGCCTGACACAGAATTGCTTTCACCAAAGCCAAAGACGCTCTGGCTTCATGAGGTCCTTCAGCGCTCTCTGATTCTGCGCTGCCAACACTTTTGGCACCCTGAATTTGCTGCTATAGCTCGTGCGGGATGTGCTGAGCGTAGGTCGGAAGAAACCCTCTGGCTCTGCATGTGCTAAAAGTGCGAGAGATGACTTGCAAAGACAAATTGCTTGTGTATAAACCCACCGGATCCTTCTGCTAATGCTGGTGTCTATGAAAAAAAGACATCAGTGTAAAAGACTAGCCTATACTCACAGTACATTGGCGTGTTTTAAAAGGTGCATCAAAGTATTCCTGAATATTGTAAAAGTGAGATCAGTATGATACTCTCTCTTGACTTTGTCCATCACGTGCATCTTAATGTTGAATTTTAAAAGCTCTTAAGTTACAAAGGAGCTACTGTATCTCCCATAGCTAGGTGTCTGCAATACACAAATGTGTTTTTTCTTATTTCTTTCTTTTTGTTTCTCTTTGTCGCACAAGGAGAATATTTTTCTCCACTGAAGGGCTGTATTTAAGCAGAAGGACCGCTTGCAGAGCATAAGAAAAGTATCGTTATGTTTTGCATGTGTGTACACACAAACAAGCATATAAAGAACTCAGTCTATCGTCCTGTTTTCTTGGTGTGTGTTCAGCCTTGCTCTCTGGCCGGCGGTGCAGTGGTACCTTCCTCCTGGCTTAGAGAAGAGGCTCATTGCGTCTGAGCAGCAGAGAATAGTGGCACATCGTGACGCAGCAGCATCTGGTGTACTCGGTCTCAATCAGTGCACGCCAAAGGAACACTGCATGCTGCTAGTATGTCTGAGAGCCTTTCGTGTTGAATCGGTTTTCTTAGTACAATATTGCTGCCGTTCACTATCTTTGACCGCGTTGTCTAATTATCCTATATCCTTGTATGTACATTATTCTTTCACGTAGATACATACAGTCATTTCATTTCGTATATAAATGCAACCTAAGTTTCCCAGGCTGTTGGAATTTCTGTATATTAACTGTCTCACCTTTTGATTACAGGTGTTTTCCTCATAGCTGTTTTAAGGTAGCTTTGGGGTTTTGAGGCTGAAAAGGTTCCCAGAGCTCTCAGAACCAGACTGAGGTGTGTAGGCTGGAATAGAACATCTTCTGAGAGGCCTCTTAACCTTCTCGTTAGTACGTGTAGAGCTTCTTACTAGTGAAATACAAAATCTTTTCCTCCAGTGGTACGGAGATAGGCGTATGTCCCACTCCCAAAGCTGACGCTGGCTAACAGTTAATGGTTAGGGTAGGCGGGAGCAGTTGATTTAGACATTCCTTGGTATGCATCTGTCTGACCAAAAACCAGTGGTAGCTGCAGCAGCGCGTGGGCTGCGGTTCTGAGGACGCCACGGAGTGACTGTGTTGTGAGTCCCAGTGAGACGTAAGAAAATCTGTTGGTTTTAGCGGAGTTCATTGCTGCTCAGAATTGTAGCAGGCTGCAATAGCAAGGTCTGTGGCTGATCTAGCTGTAGTTCAAACCTGGGAAGCTGGGTTCCTGTCACTGTACTGGCCATAGCTTTAGTTGGAATTCCACTGCAAATAGAGAGACTCAATTTAAATACTTGGCGGTGGGGGGAGTGGGAGGGGGTGGTCTAATTAGGTTGCTTTAAGCCCAAATCTGTTCAGTTCAGATTTTATACATTTTCTTCCTACTTAATTCCATTGTGTGAATTGTACTGCTGTAACTTCTTTTTATTGCTACTTTTTTTTTTCAAAGAAATGTTATACTTGGCAAAGTTGTAGTAGGAGTTCTCATACACACAGCTCTTCGTTTCTAGATGTTTTAATGTCAAATAATTATTTAAATAAAAATATAAAAAAACGCTTGGAAGAATGCAGTTAAATGGCAGAAGTGTTTTTTAGGAAACCCAGAAGACAGAGCTGTAGCCTTTGAGAGTTCCTGGCCTTTACTTTGCAGGATCTGAAAAGCGAGCTCTCCTATCTGCATCTCCATGCTTTCATGTTGCCTTTCCAAGGAGAAGGGAGTTGGAAGCAGGCCTGAGTTAGCTCTCACGAGGATAGTGTTCTGTACCTTAAATTACAATCAGATGTATTTTAGTTCAGATGAAGTTTTCAGCCTGAAATTGGTAAGGAGCCTAATTATTTGACCAGGTTACTATTCATGTAGGCCACTGTATAGCAGTCTGTGATCTATCCATAGCTGGCAGCACGTTAGCCTCAAAAGGTTTGTGTTTTGTGCTTGGACCTGTCCTTTAAAAATCCAACTCTGTTCGTTAAATGAAAAACTAAAAGGTGGCAGAGATTACTATGGAGACGAGATGTTATATAAACTGTTCATGTTAATTCTTCAGAATGTAAAAATAGCCGAGAAGCTTGACTGTTTACAGGCTTCCAGTCATTGAAGGTACTGAGCAACTCCACGAGATGCAAAGCATTCTTGGCCCTGTGGACTTGGATTGTCGTGTAGCGAATCGTGCCCAGATTTTGAAATCAGTCACGTGTTTGTTAGACTGGAGAGCGTGGAGTAAGAAGAAATAAATAGAAGGACTTTCTAAGTAGTCTTTAATCTGTAGACTTTTCATTGTATTATTTTTTCCCAGTGAGCAGAGTGCCTAAGATGATCTGTGAGCTGAAGTATGCGGGATAAAAATACAGATATTCTGTGATCTGAAAACATAATATGGATTAAAACTGGAAAATAAGACTATTTCACTGTTATACCTTTCAGGGTGTCGTGGTGGTGATGTTACAGATAGGACTGAGACCATGTTTTATTTATCAGACCCTCCCAAAGTTATTTGTTACTGTGCTCTAGACGTTATCTGCAGCCTTAAATTTAACACTCACTGCTCTTGCTTGAAAATTGCTATTACTCACTGAGTTTTGAGAACAGTTAGTAAAATGGGGTTTAGGATTATGAAAATTAAACGTACAAAATTTGTGTAATTAGTGTAAAGACTAAGCCTTTGTCTCATTAGTGGATTAGTGAAACCGTAGGGGATCTTCACGTAACTCGTTGAACACGTGCGAAATTCCACATGGCAGCCTTGAACTGCTCTTCGTGCAGGGTTGAAATCAGCATTCACAATTTAGTAGACAAATAGTCACTTCTGGTTGAGTTCTGTTTATTTTGTTTCACAACTGGTACTTGCTGGACCGTTCATGTTCAGAATAAAGAACAATACAGGGGGAGGAGGGCAGGGAATAAAATACATGTGTGGAAACATGAAGACCCTGAGGTGTTCCCTGCAAAACAAGAACAACTGCTACAATGACAGCATACTCCACATCTTTATTATAAACAAGGTAATAATTTTTCAGGCAAGGGATTTAATTAATCTCCTAGCTCTGTACAGAGTCGTTGTACTGCACTTTGGAATTAAGCAGCGCAATTTGATTGACTCTGTTACTAAAAAGGGACATTTTGAGTTATATCTGCTTTTAAAATATGAACAGTAGTCTTAGCTGCCATGGGAAAGTGTACTGCATGGAAGGCAGAGGTGGAGAGCTCTGTTTCATTTTGGACGGCTGTGATTCCGGGCGTATACAGATTCTCTGTCGCCTCCATCATCCCTTAGTGGAAAGGCAGTGTTTTCCAGAAGTTTTGATCTGTGTACTTGTAGGACAAAGGTGGGCTGGGGGAGACCTTCTAGAAGCAGCATACTTCATCTGATTCCTGATAACATACATCGATTTTTTCGGCTGCTTGCAGGGGTTCTTCCTGACGGTGTCACCAGAAGCAGTATTAAAAGTGGCTGCTCAGGCTTCTGCAAACAACAAGATCTTCAGCTTGAATCTCTCTGCACCCTTTATTAGCCAGTTCTACAAGGAGCCGATGATGAAAGTCATGCCTTACGTCGACGTCCTGTTTGGAAACGAGACGGTGAGTGTTACGAAAGCAATTGAAGCGTTTGTATCTCTTGCATGGGGCTGTTTGTGTCTAGGAGCCGGCTTCCTGGCTGTCCGTTATTTACAGTGAGGGACTGACCGTGGGAAGTGTCACTAGAAAATTATACCACGGTCACAGGACTGTGATATTTCAGTAGGTGCCACAGAAGTCACTTGACCTGTTAGAGGTTTACAACTTGCTCATTCTAGTGTAGAGACACGTGAACAAGTTACTCCAGGTTAAAAGAGGAAATAGCCAGCATGTTGGCTGCTTTATGATAGCTGTCCATGTGTGTGATGTGCTCACCCAGAAGGTCACTCTCTGCTGGAAGAAACCACCTGAAGGGCTCCTGCAGAGCTACTGAGGTTCTGTAACTTGTTTCCATCTCCATACTGCTGCTGTAAATAGCGTTTTCGGTGACGAAGACACCTCTTTGGGGAGAAGTGGGGGTAGAAAGCTAAGAAACAGTTCATCGGTTTGGAAGGTGTTAGTTGGTTTTGTGGTGGCTGGACTGGCAGTCCGTCTCAGGAAGGCTCACCTTCGCTGTGCCACGGCTGGCCAGCAGACTGCAGGAAACCCTGCCTGGAAGTCCGTGATAAGAGGCCAGATGAATTCACATTTCACTCATTGTAGTGCGATCACTTTGGGATTTTTTTTTTTTTCCCTACTTCAGAAAGTGCTCTTAAATATTTATTAGTTTGCTCAGCAGAAAAAGGTTAAAAAAAGCCTTGGAAAGTGTGACACACCTAAATGCAGTGTGGGCTTGTGTCTGGAGATAACTATATTCGCACAGGAAAATTATGGGAAAGTGACTTGTTCCTGTCAGGGGTTGTTCCTGATGGCGGCACAGGGAGTTGCACCGGCACCAGTCGGTTTTTCCACTCCTGTCCACGTCTCCACACGAGGGGCTAGCTTTGTTACAGATATAGGGCTTTCAAAAACCAAAGAAAGTATTTATAAAATGAAGAAAATTGCAGTGGTTTTAAATGCAGTAGGATAAGGAAAACCTTTTTAACTGTAGTTAATGATACAGAAGAAAAATTTTGCAGACATTTTGCTGCTCTTGCCAACTGTTACCTTTATTCTGTCTTTCACGAGACAGTCCTCACAAAGATGCTGCTGAATGTTCTGATTAAATATCAGTATAATCTCAACAAGAAAATGTTGTCAGATTTCACCAATGAAGTAGTAGCAAGTCGAGGCAATGTCTGGGCGGCAGGGCTTCACAGACACTGCGGGGATTAAACCTTGCTGGTCTTTCATATAAATATTGCCCTGTTGACCTGTTAAGAGAATTCAGATCGCAGTGGTTCGCGAGGTGCTGTTTTTCAGCAGATAAAATGGAAGTTGTTACTTTTTGTATATTTGCACACTTTGTAAGCAATAGTCCACTATACCAGCAACATTCTGATTTTAGAAATTTTATTCGGACTTCCATAATTTCCCCTGCCGTTCGTTTGCTATGGTGTCATTCGCTTGCTGGCGTAAAACACTGTATAGAATTGTTGTGTATGTTCAAGTTGAAAGACTCCCTACATTTTCTGAAGCATTTTGGTGTTTTTCAGGGTGAAAGACACTATTTAAGCAGAAGTGATCATCCTTAAACTTGTCAGTACAGTGTATGTATACTCCAGAGTACCAGGCTCTTAGACTTTGTTACTTCTATTCGTCAGCTGGAACCCTGGTCATTTCTTAGTCTCTGCTTCCTGCAATATAAGCTGGCCATGGCTGCTTCTGAGCTGTTGAAATGCTGTTTGCAGTGGTTGATTCTCCTGTCTTTCTGTGAGAGGCGAAGCCACGCTCTTGGCATGGTGTACTTCGAGATGGCAGTCGCTGCAGTATCTTGTGATTGTCAGTATTCCTGCTCTCTGCGTATGGTTTGTGGG